CCAGCCAGCCTTCAGGGACCCCAGTGGGGGCCAAAGGGGTCTTGCTTCCCAGACGCCTTCCGGGCGGGGTGTGACTTCCCGCTCCGGTGGTCGTAAAAAGCCCAGAAGCCCGCGGGTCCCTGGTGTGTGTGGGAGGGGTCCGAGCTCGGAATCCCCCTCCCAGGCGTGTTTGACACGTGTTTCCGCCTCTCCTGGCCTGGGCTCCCTGTGCTGCTATTTATAACCTTTAAGAGCTCCTGCCGGCTGCAAAGTTTTCTTAAACTCAAAATATCACCGAGGCCCCGGGCACGCGTTCCAGAGGCTGCCGGGCCCTGCGGTTTGAAGGGAGGAGGGGGCCAGGAAGGAGGGGTGGGAGGGGAGCTCAGACACTGGGTCCTGGCAGGGCTGTGGCAGAGGGACCTCGGCTGGAGGACCTGAGCCCAGGGAACCCTGGTCTTGACACTATGGCCCTGTGTGGCCTGGAAGGACCCTCCGCGTGGGTCGTCCTTGGTCACACTGGGCCATCTGAGGACACCTGAGCCATGGCTGAGCCTCAGTTTCCTCTGCAGACAGGAGTTGGGGCAAGGCAGGGAACTGGTGGACCCAGAGGCCATCTAGGGCCAGGGTCAGCGCCGCGTCTGCCTGTCCATCCAGCCGCATGGGAACCTGTTCCAGAGGCACCAGATCGGCTAGGGAGCGGCGACAGCAGCGCTGGGAAGCAGCAGTAGCGGCCGGGAGTCACCCTGCTCCTGCGGCCTGAACCAAGGGCCCCTTCAATTGTGAAAGAGGCTGAAGGACCCTCCCTGGGGACAGGTGGGTCGCTGCCTCATAGACAGTCCTGAGGATAACAGGAGGGCAGCTGTGCATAGCTTGGATGCCAGCTGGGAGCTGGAGGGGACCAAGCCCAGCCAGGCCAAGGTGCCACCTGAAGTCACACACCCAGCTCCAGCCCACCCTGGACACTGCTCGGCCCCCAGGACCCCCTTGCGTCCTCAGGAGTGGCTGAGAATCTCCGTTCCCCGAAGCCCTACACAGCTGGGTCCAAGGTGGTGCTGCGTGCATCATTCCACTCCAGCATCCAGGTCCCGGGTGCAGTGGGGGGCTCGGACGACCTGGCACACAGAGGACAAGGGGAGAGGAGCAGGGGCTTCCTGGGGCCCCTTGGATCAGGGTCCTCACCCCCAGGCCCTTCATGAGGAAGTTCTCCCCCAGGAGCCCCTGGGATCAGAGCACCACTATAGGAGCTCTGGGAGAATCAGAGGCACCCCCAGATGGAAGAAGGAAGCTGGGATCCCCGGGGCTGGTGGGGAAGCCTCACCCTAGTCCCTGGCAGCCCGGCCCCAAGTCCTCACTGCCCCTACAGCTGCTGCCTTCCATGGGGCAACGAGGGTGAGGAGACTGGCATATCCTCTCCTCAGCCCCCCAGGCCCAGGCCCACCCTTGGAGGTGGCAGAGGCCCCTGACAGCCGTGCAGCCCGCTCCTGCTTCTCCCTGAACGCTGTCTAGAACCAAGATGTTCTGGAGGGGCCCCGAACTGGGGTGGTCTGGGCAGTGTGTTCCTGACGCTGGAGCTGTCCTTTGGATGGATGCGCAGGACCAGGCTCTGGGGTGGGGCTCAGGAATCCCCAGGCCCGCCCAGTTTATCTGCCATCCCTGTGAGTCTTTGTTTGTGCAGATTCCAGCCCATTGTTCCCTGGGGTTCCAAGCTCCTGTCCTCTGCTGGGAAGTCCTGGGAGGGCTAAAGGTCTCAGCAGCGGGAAAGCCGTCTCAGGTCCCAGGATTCTCAGTGGCCCGGCTCTACCCACACCCCACAGTACAGGTGTGAACCCTGAGACCTCAGCAGAGGAAGGGCTCTTGGATGGGGAGATAATGCCCAGTGTCCCCGAAATTCCAGTGATCCTCCTGGAAGCTTCTCCATCCAACCTTGCGCCCATGCTAGAGCTCTGACCTCAGCCCTGGCTGCTGAACCTTGCAAGGCTCCCTGGACTGGGGGTCACACCTTTTTGCTATCTGCCCTGAGCCCTGCACTTGGGGTCTCGGGGTGTTTCAGGGGGCCAAGCCACACTGAGGCACCTGTGTGGCTCTAAATCCTCTGTGAGCTCTCACCGGGGCCAACCTGCTGGGGACGTGCCTGTCCCCAGCCATCCCTCCTGCCCTTGGCCTTCTGTCCGTCTGCCCTGGTGTGCTCGGGGTGGAAGGAATGGGCCGGGAGCCTCGCAGAGAGTCCTTTCCCACGAGAGCCAGCTCTGACCCCGTCCTTATCGGGCCTGATGCGCCAAGAACAACACAGATGCAGCGGCTCCCGAGCCCCGAACCCGGGGATGCCGACCTCCCCGGCCAGCTGCTGGGCTCTGGCCTCTGTTTTCCCCGCTGTGGACAGGCCAAGGGGCCTCCAGGGGTCATGGGAGGAGGCGGTGGAAAGGCCCCAGACACCTGGACATGCACGTTCATGCACACGCACGTTCATGCACACGCACACATGCGGACCACGCGGGGCAGGCCCTGGTGGGAGCTTGTGTTCTTCCCCTTCAGCCCAGCTCCTTCCCAGTGCCCATCCGCAGCCCACGTTCTTCCTATGCTTGTGAGCTCAAAGGTGCGTGTATGAGAGCGTGGCTGTGTATGCAAAGGCATGTGAGTATGTACACATACGTGTGCAAGTGAGGTGTACCTGTAATCTCAGCTACTTGGGAGGCTGAGACAGTAGGATCTCAAGTTCAAAGCCAGCCTGGATAACTTAGCAAGACCCTAGAAGTGGAAAATAAAAAGGCCCAGAGCTCAGTGGTAGAGCAGCCTTGGGTTCAGTTCCCAGTACACACACAAACACAGTATGTGTGCGCAGAGGTATGCAGATTTGTGTGCACAGGTGTATGAACATGCATGCTGAGGCATGTATCTAGCATGAGAATAAGTGTGTGAAAATGTGTGCAGAGGCGGGTACCTGCTCTTGGCACAGCCTGTGTGGGCCAGCTTCCTGAGTGAGTGTGTGTGAGTGTGTGTGTGTGTGTGTGTGTGTGTGTACGTACACACTTAAGCGAGACCCTTGCCCGCAGTAGCACAGGCAGGGTGAGCAGAGGTGGAGTAGGGTGTCTAGGGGCCACTGGGGATCTTGGGGTGGATGCAAACCCACAGGCGGGCCGGGCGGACTGACCTGTGTCCAGCCGTGGCCACGTGGGCCAGGCGGGCGGATATATAAATACCCACACTGGCAGGTACCGGAATCGACTGACTATTCCTAGCCGGGGGCTCCACGCCCTGCCACAGAGGGGTCGGTGTGGCCCTGCAGGCGAGGCCACAGCGGGGTAGGGTACCGTGGGGACCACAGTGGGCGGGGCTGGCAGGGGGACCGGAGGCCCCCCACCCAGCACCGCCTCCTCGCCGCCCGTCACCTCTGTGGCTTCCTCAGTGTCTGCTGTCAGCTGCTCCCTCTGTCATGCCTTGCACGCTGCTGCCTGGCCTGGCGTCCTCCTCTGGGCCCACTCCTCGTCCCGGGGGCTGTGTGAGAGTTGGCAGTGAGGCTACGCCCTCTCTGCGTCTCTGTCCTCCTCCTCCTGTCTCTGCTCCCTGGTCTCTGCTGCGGTCAAGGGTCCTGGTTCCCGCTCCTCCACGGCTGGGGAGAGCCGTCCCTCCTCCCGCAGCACGCGCTGCCTGCCGAGACACTTGGTCCATCCGCTCAAACAACCACTCAATTCAGACCTGCGTCTGACTGACGGGTTTTTTTTCCTCTGCTAAATTTACTTGCATTTTTGACTGAATTGGCCATTCAACAGGGGTTGTGTCCACAGGCCCACCCCACCCCGCAGCCCGATGAGGGCGCACTGACGGACACGCATGCAGCGGATGAGCGTGCAGAACCTCCAGAGCCCGGCCTGCTCTTCCCCATGCGCGGCCATAGCCTCGTGCGCAGTGACACGCGTAAGCACGCTCCTGCACAGTCCGTGCGCCACAGTCACTCACACACCAGGACTCACACCCACGTTCACACCTCCGGGGGCGGGGTCTGGACGCCCTCAGTCCCCTCCTGGGGAACCAGAGGCATGGGGACAGAAAGGTGTGGCCGCTCCTCCAAGACTGGCTTGTGTGGTACCCTCCTCCTCCTCCCTCCATCTGTCCCAGGGGTTTCTGGTCACCTCGGGCCATTCCCAAGCCCCTGCAAACCTCAAGAGCAGCTCCCAGACCCCAGTCCTAAAAGGGGACTCTTTTTTTTTCTTCCAAGGACAATAAATATTTGCTCTTTGGGAGACTGCTGGTGGGAGGGTACAGGGTTTGGCCGAGTGGCAGGGAATGTCCAGGGTAGCGCAGGGAGGCCGCAGGCCCTGCTGGGGGAGGTGGGCCCTGTCCATCTGTCCATCTGTCCATCTGGAAGCTGGAGCAGTGGGCAGGGCTGGGGAGCTGGGGCTCAGGGCCACGCTCACTTTGTTTCCTCTGAACCCCTTAGGACGCCTCATGCCATACCAGACCCCTGGCCCCCAAGCTTACCCTGCAGACCTTTGCAACTCCACCCCCGCCGCAGCCCCCACTCCTCATTCACCAGGAATGCATGGCCCTCGCTCACACCCAGACTCTGCAGAAATAAGGGGTTCAGCGTTCCCAGAAAGACTGAAATTCTGTGTTTTTCAACTCCCTGCTGGTGCTAGCTGTCCAGGGTCGGGCTGATGCCCCTCAGGCTGGGACCCCAGGAACAGACAGGGCTGCCCCCTGGCCCACGATGCCCCAGCCTGGCCCGCGCTGTCCCCGCCTGTCCCGCACCAGGCCCTAGGTCCTGGAGGCTGCTGCCTGCCCACCCCTCCTTCATGCTGAATTGGGCTCCCAAATATAGCGGCCGTGGCCACAGCCGGCCAGGACACCACAGCCCCAAGCGTCAGTCCTGGGCCGGGATCAGAGGGGCAGGAGCTGATTATAGGTCCCTGGGCCAAACCCAGGGCTTGCCTGCCAGCCCTTGAGCCCGGCCACCCCCACCCCCAGAACCACAGGGTTGGAGCATCTGGTCCCCGTCAGCGCAGTGGGCAGAGGGAGGGGCCCGCCCGAGGACAGAGTTGTCTGTGTGTGGCGGGGGACGGTGCGGATGGCCTGGGCCGTGGGGCAGAGGCTGTTCTCCGACCCCATCGTCATGGGAAGCCATCATCGTCCCTGGTACAGGTTGGGGAAACTGAGGCCAGGAGGAAGAGGGACCAGCCTGGGCTGCAAGAACCCAGGGAGTCCTCTTCCTCCCCTCGGGCAGTCTTTCCCATCTTTCAAGCCCTGGGCTGTGCCTCTGGGAAGCAGGCCACATCCTGTTGGTGGCAGAGCAGCCCTGCTGGGAAGTCTTCCTTGGAGTCAGACTTTCACACGAGGCTTCAGGGCTGTGGGGGGCACAGACGGGCGCAGACGGTCACCTCCTCCTGGTCTTGCGCCTACCTCATGCTGCCTCTAGCCAGGATAGCCAGGTGGCTCTCACCCCGGCTGGCTCCCAGGCGGTGCCCCCATCTGTGCAGCCGGCGGGAGCCCTGGAGCCCCAGGTAGGGAGCGTCGCGAGCACCTGGCATGCAGTGGGGGTCGCATTTCGGGGGACACACATGCATGTGTCTGGTGGGTGAGAGGCAGCCAGGACAGGGTCTGGGGACCTGCCGCATGGCAACATTTGACCTACTTCTAAGGCTCTGGGTCTGGCCCAGGCCGCGTTCTCAACTCCTCCGGGAAGTGTGGGCCTGCGGCCCAGCCCTGGGGCTGTGGGCCAGGAGAGGCGGGCCAGGGCAGGCCAGGCGGCCTGCGGCCGAGCAGGAGCACGTGGGAGAGCCTGACCCTCCTCCTTCTCTGCCTTTGGCACTGGGGCCCAAGGGACAGTTCCCCCATACACACACATTTGTGGCTACCATAGCCCAAGCTCCCAGATAGGTCCTGAGCTGTGTGCACACTACCGGGAGGCCTGCCAAGCACCCCGAGGCTTGCCAGAGCTGACCCGTCCACAGGGCGGCGGGCAGTGCCAATCTGGACGGCCAGCGCCCCCATCTGCTTCTGGGTCCACGGTCTGGGTTTGGGGTTACAGCTCTGGAGTTTGAAGTCTGAGTCCCGGGTCTGGGGCCTGGGTGCGGAGTCTGGGTGTGAGGTTCGGGTTTGGTGTCTGGGCTTCAGAGTCTGGGTTCTGGGTTGGGTACCAAGACCTGGGTTTGGGGTCCTTACTGTGCAGTTTGGTCCTGGACTCTGGGTTCTGAGGTCTGAGCTTGGAGTTCATGTTGTAAGGCCTGAGTCTGGGGTCTAGGCTGGGGTTCCAGGTTCCAAGTTTGGAGTCTGGCCTGGAATCCTGAGTTCTGAGTCTGGGTTTGGGACCAGAAGGCTGGTTCCCATCCTCTCCGCAGGACCGCCCTGCCCACTGCCCTCCGCCAGCTGCTGAGAAGGGTCTCATCAGGGACAGGGGCTGCAAGAAGAGCAGAGCTGCACTGCAGTGGGTGTGGGAGGTGGCTGGGGCCCTCTGTGGTCACCAGAGCTCCTGCCGGTCACGTGGCAACGCCCCGTGTCCCCTCACCCACTCCAGGATGGGCTCAAGAGGGGTTTTGTTCCCTCAGTGAGACGCAGTAAGCCGAGAGATGCGGGGTATCTGTTCATCTGGCATTTACTGAGTGTCCACTGGGCAGCAGGCTCTGGGGACACAGGAAGCGCAGTCCTGTCCTGACGGCTGGCACAGGAGCGAGGACACAGCTACGGGACAGGTTAGCAAAGCAGCACTCACTGTAGGGTACGCAGGGGTGGGGGGGCCAGCAGACGGGCAGGGTGGTCTGGGGAGGCTGCCTGGAGGAGGCAGCGTCTTGCTGAGATCCAAGAGTGACAAGGAGTCCTAGGCAAGGGGCTGCAGGGGGAGCCACAGCCCAGGGCCTGGAAGAACCACAGTGAGGACCAGTGTGACCAGGACTCTCCTGCCTCAGCCAACAGGCCTTCAAAGTCAGCGCTCACGTGGTCCCCTGTGTGCCCCAAATTGGGCTCTGGAGCATAGCATGAGGTTCAGAGCTGCGCCCCAGGGGAGGGAGATGCAGGCCCCTCTGGCTCTCTAGGCCCCTCAGGCCCCTCCCAACCTTCTGAACCTGAATGATTCTAGGGCTGGGACCCAGCAGGGACAGGTATGACCTGCTGGCCTCTGCCTGGTCCCCCACTGTCCTGGTAACAATCCCGCTGACCGCTGAGTCTCTGCTGGGGGAGGGGCATCTGTCACTTTTTCTTGTTTTTCTGTTTTTTTGAGACAGAATCTCTCTATGTAGCTGAGGCTGTCCTGGAACTCCCGGAGATCCCTCTGCCTCAGCCTCCCAAGTGGTGGGCTCACAGATGAGCTCTACTACGCCCAGCAATTGTCGAAGGTTTGAGGTGTCCTATGGCCAGACCTGGGCTCCAGGGTCCGGCTGGTTTCCATCTGAAGGTGCTTGCAGACCACACCTGCCCCGCGGACGAGGGAAGGGGACCAGGATGCCCTCACCCTCTGGCCACACACAGGCCGAGGAAGGTGGCTGGGATGGAGGTCAGGACACAGTGTCACTCACGTGCCGCTTTCCCGCGCACGCCGGGTGTCCTCCCAGGGAGAGCGGTTTCAGGAGGGGGAGACACAGGGTGTGGGGCCTGGTTATTGCTGGTAAATGAACGTGGGCTGGGTCATGTCTTGGCGCCCGTGCCCAGGGCGGATCACCCAGGATCAGCCATCCTGCGGGTCGGCAGACCTGGGCTGGGACCATCCAGAGGACCCTTGCTGTTTCCCAAGCTGTCCCTGCTGTGCGGTGCTCTTGGCTGTCTCTGTGGACCACCCCCCAACCTCTTTCCTTCTCAATACTGTTGCCAAACATCTGGAAGAAAAGTGAAAAACGTGCCCCCCCGAGTCCCGGATGTTGTGAGATTTCCAGATGTGGGGTGTTCTGCCCTCCAGATGAGGCAAGGAATGTGTCCCAGTGGGGGAGGCCCCCAGCCCTGGACTGCTGTCCTGTCCAAGTGAGCTGAGCAATGGTTGAGCGGGACCTAGGATGGCCACGGGGAGGAGGGGCCCAGGTGGAGGTGGTGGGGAGCACTGTCCTCTCAGGCTGGGCTATACCCCTGACTGCCCCGGGAACCCCCTTGGGGTCTGGGGGTGGCGCTGCCTCTGAAGTTGCTATCAAAGGCTCCCGGCACTTAAAAATAACCAGGCACACCCTCCTCCCACCCCCAGCACGGAGGCAGGCAGGGGCTGGGCCCAATGTGTGCGCAAGATGTCCTCGATCTCTGCGGCTTGCACTCGAGGGTCTCTTGCCGCCTCAGCCTCCCACCACCCCGGAGTGGCCCAGGTAGGTTGTGCTGCATCCCTGCTGTCCAGGCCGGGCACTCAGGGGTGGCTGAAGAGGGCACTGAGCAGCAGGAACGAGGGTGAGCATCTTGGGCTGGCACCAGTGCAGCCCCTGCCCAGCTGTGGGCTCCCCTGAGAGGTAGTCTCCCCTGGCACCCTTAGACAGGACTCCAGCTGCCTGGCATGGGCAGACTGTGACACACAGACGCATGCAAGCTCCTAGACACAGCAGCGGCACACGCGTGCAATCTCTGGGAGGCTGAGGCAGGAGGATGGAAAGTTGGAGCCCAGCCTGGGCAATTTAGCAAGACTCTGTCTCTAAATAAACAATAAAAATAAGAAGGGCTGGGGATGTAGCTCAGTGCAAAGGTCCTGGATTCAATCCTAGCACAAGGAAACCAAACCAAATCACTGAGATAGAAGCACACAGCAGGAGGGCTACAGACACACACACCTCAGTGGGTACAGACAGGGGAGCCCCAGACACGGTACCCAGACCCCGCAGGACCTGAGCCCCAGACACACAGAGCCTCCATGCCCACAGCCCCAGACCAGGGCCAGACAGACACAGGGACGCCCAGGCCAGAGGGGCTGTGTAGCTCAGGTGGTGGGGGTGTCCTGCCCCTGGCTGCACACACTTGTCCGCGGTCTTTACCTCTCCAGGCTACTGACCTGCAGCAGAGTCCCGTGTGCATGTGCGCGTGAATGTGTGAGTGTGTGTGCGTGTGCCTAGCACCAGCCTCTGTGTCCCTCACCCGCCTCTCCCCAACAGGTGACTGGGAGGAATGGCGGGCCCTCCCTCCCCCCATTCCTGGGCCCGAACAATGCCCTCCCCAGGCCCCAAAATAGCCCCTGAGCCTGCCAATGTCCTTTTATGGCCCTGTCCCTATTGTGCCCGTGGGGGTTGGGCGGGGTCAGAAGGTGTCCAGGAGCATAAAGCCCTGGGGCAGGGCGCTCACCTACCCTGCTCCCTGCATCCTTCTCCACCGCCCGCTCTGTGCTCACAGCCCCCATGGCCCCCAAAAAGCCAGAGCCCAAGAAGGAGGACGCCAAGGCCAAAGCGGCTCCGGTCCCTCCTCCTGCACCCGTGCCTGCACCTGAGCCTGAGCGCCCCAAGGAGGTCGAGTTTGATGCTTCTAAGATCAAGGTAGGCGTGAGAGTGGGGCTGGGGCGGGACAGGTAGTGAGTGGAACCCGTGGTGGGCCAGGAAGGGGCAGGTGAGGACACCGAGGTGAAGCCACGAGCTGCAGCAGGAAGAATGGCGGTCAGACACCAGGCAGGACTGGCCGGTGCTGCAGGGAGACCGTGCACCCGGGGTCCCATCTGGGTTGGAAGGGAAGATCATTTTGGGGGCCCTGGAAGCTGACTTTGCCTCGTCCTGTCCTGGGACTTGGTACGTTTGGCAGTTCCAGGAGGCAGCTACCCTGGACTCCAAGATCCCTGCAGCCAGGCAGGCGTCTTCCTTGGCCAGCCAGGGTCCCCCGTCCATGCCCGCTCTCCTAGGGAGGCAGAGCAGAGAGCAAGCCGAGGGGCCCTTCCAGCAGGGCCACACTCACCCCTGCCAAGATCCCTGAGCCAGAGCTGGTTGAACCCTCCTGGGCCTCAGCTTTTAGGTGGGGAGATTGAGGGACAGGTTGGGGAGGAATGTTGGAAAAGCCGTGAAGGAAGCGGGTGGCGAGGCTCTGACCGGTGGCCCCGGGAGCCCTTCCTGGCTCATGGGAAGTCATTCCCAGAGTCTAAACTTGGAGGCCAAGTGTGACTCCCACCTGTGGCATCCGCATAGCGGCACGCCTGGCTCCTGCCCTTCCACTCCGCCTGGCCGCTGCCCTGGCTGGCTTCCGAGGACCCGCAGAGCCCTCCTTGCCCCACCTGCTCTCACAGGGCGGGTCACCGCCTTCTCCCGTGCCCTTCCCGGAGCTCCTGCCCGGGTCCTGTCCCCACCCTGCTCTGAGGCCCCAGTGACGGGCCCCTTTGCAGGGCAGATGCCCCGAGCTGGCTTGAGGCCCCCTGCCAGGCCCTGCCCCGTGCCCTCCAGGGCCCCCCAAGGGGCTCCATCCATCTCGTGACCCTTGGTGGCACTGTCTGGTCTCACCAGCTCTGAGGTGGGAGCAGACTCCCCTCTGGGAGGTACAGACCCTGAGGCCCCTCCCGTGGCCCCCGGGACCCCAAGCTGGCTGGTGAGGGCAGGAGACCAAGTGCCTTCCTGGTGGAGAGAGTGCTTGGCGGCCCAGGTGTGAATGCCAGCTCGGTCCCTCCAGCGGGGCCCGGCACGCATGTCCTCGGAGCTTGGTGTGGCTGAGGGAGCAGCAGAGAGCAGGGAGGTGCCAGGCGCGTCCCCTGTCCCCAAGTCCTTCCCTGGTGTGACCTTGAACTCAGGAGGGTGACGGCAGTGATAAAAATAGACCTGGCGTTAGGTGAGGAGGGGGACACCGGGCCCCAGGAGGTTTCCAGGCTTTGGGGTGGCTGTGATGCGGCCTCTGTAGACCCTCGGCCACAAGCCCCATGCTGTGCAGGGTGGGGACAGTCCTGGGCTATGGTCATAGGTACAGGCAGGGCTGCAGGGGACACACACACGGAGACACATGTCCACACCAAGTCCGTGGCAGGCCCACCTGGTGGGCTTGGGGACATCAGTTTAGAATCAGGACCCTCCTCCTCACCTCCCGCCCCGAATCACACAGCAGCAGGGTCTGGGTGGGATCAGATGCAAGGCCTTGGGGTTGCCCAAGTGCAGAGGGAAGGGAGGCGGGCAGGTGACCAGGTACCAGCAGAAGCCCAGCGTGGTGAGAGTGGGGACCGGTTGGCCCCCAGGATCAGGCACTCAGAGACTCTGGGCCTCTTTCAGATCGAGTTCACACCGGAGCAGATTGAAGGTGAGCGGGGTCCCAGCCTGGGGCTGTGGGGTCGGGGCTGGGGTCCTGGCCTGGGGTCTCCCAGCGACCTCAGGGCCCCCTTGGGAGGGCTGCAGCTTCCCACCCTCTCCTGCAGAGTTCAAGGAGGCCTTCATGCTGTTCGACCGCACGCCCAAGTGTGAGATGAAGATCACGTACGGGCAGTGCGGGGACGTCCTGCGGGCCCTGGGCCAGAACCCCACACAGGCTGAGGTGCTCCGTGTGCTGGGGAGGCCGAAGCAGGAAGGTAGGGCCCTGTCTGGGAGGGGGGTCCCAGGGGCCTCACAGCCTGGCACAGGTCCAGGGAGGCTGCAATGGCAGCACCTAACCAGTGCCAGGAGCGGAGTTTGTGAGGAGGACGGAGCCCGGGGGAGACCGGCACCGTGCCAGGTGCGGTCCCCCATTGTACACGCGCGTCCCACCCGGCCGCGGCCTTGTCTGCAGAGCTCAACAGCAAGATGATGGACTTCGACACGTTCCTGCCCATGCTGCAGCACATCGCCAAGAACAAGGACACCGGCACCTACGAGGACTTCGTGGAGGGGCTGCGGGTCTTCGACAAGGAGGGCAACGGCACCGTCATGGGCGCAGAGCTGCGCCATGTGCTGGCCACGCTGGGTGAGGACCACCTACCCCTGCCCCGTCCTCTGCCTGTGCAGTGGAGAGAGTGACCAGCACGGGTCTTGATGGCAAGCGACAGGCAGAAGAACGTCCTCTGGGCGGGGAATAAAGAAAGTGTGTTAGAGCTGGCGTGGCGGTGCCGGGCTGTAACCCCAGCATTCTGGGAGGCTCAGGCAGCAGCATCACAAATCTGAGTCCTGCGTGAGCCATGCAGCAATTTAGGGAGATGCCGAATCTCAAAATAAAAAATATAGAGTGAGGGGGACTGGTCATCCAGACACAAAGATGCCCAGGGCCCTCCTGGTCACAAGTCCTCCTGGCCTCCAAGGTGGGTTGATGGCCACAGCCTGGTGAGCAACACTGGCTGGGAGACCCTGGAGGGCAGCCCCACCCTCTGGAGGGACTCAGGGGTCCCCTCCCTGGCACCTCTCACTCGGGACGGTGCTGACTCAGCCTCCCGCCCTGCCAGGTGAGAGGCTGACGGAAGATGAGGTGGAGAAGCTGATGGCCGGGCAGGAGGACTCCAACGGCTGCATCAACTACGAAGGTGGGCTCCGGGCGGCATCTGGGAGGGCAGGGACGCGTCCTCAGGCTGAGGTGCTCAGCCTGGCCCGCACTGTTCCCTCCAGCGTTCGTGAAGCACATCATGGCCAGCTGAGCCCGCAGGCGAGTGCCCGTGCCCTGCTCCTCCACAGCCCCTGCTCTGCGAACTGTGGGCCCTGCTCTGTGCCTGGTGGCACCTCGGTCTCAGGAGCTGGGAGCCACCTGGGGTGTCGGTTCTGTGCACCCCAGGGACACGGTCACCTGTGGCCCGTCGGGCTGCGCTGGCCTGGGACTGTGTTCTCTTTCCACTGTGGGCTCCTAAATAAATGACTGCAGCCTGCTTTCCTGCGTCCTCTCTCCTCCCTCCTCCCTCCCTGCCTTCCCTCCTCCCCTCTCCCCTCCCTTCCCAGTCTTTCTACCCTTCCTCTCTCCTCTTTCGCTAGCCTCTGTCCATTCCACGGGCCGTGGCCGCCGGGTGGGAGCTGGCCGAGCTGGTGGCCGCCTGGGTCCCCTCCCCTCGCTCCTGCCCTGCCTCCCACCGTGACCCACAAGTGCCACTGAGAGCGCGGTCTGTGTGGACAGGCGACCCCAAGCTGGAGCCGGCGCTGTGTGTTCTAGGCAGACGGCTGAGCCGGGGACATCGGTGGCCCTGCCGGCATCACTTGGGCATCACTTGGGCATCACTCTGCCCCCCAGCTGTCAGAGTCAGATGGGGACACCGAGGCTGTCTGCTTGGGGGAGCCCTGGGCCAGGGGCAGCAACCTCGAGGGGCGGCCTCCCAGGCCTCCCGGGGGCTCCTCGGCCCGCGCTTCTCAGTGGAAGGCAGCTGCGGCCCGGGGTGAAAGGAGCAAAACACCCAGCAGACTTCTGCCTCCACCTTCCTGCCCAGGGCTGAGCAGTCCCACAGAGGGCGGGCAGAGCGGGTCCCTGGGGGAGGTGGCCGCCCGGATGACAGGGAGGAAGAGCCACGCTGGGCAGGAGACAGCTGCAGGTGCAGCCAGGCCATTTCCACGGCCTTCCATGTGTGCAAACGTGTGTGCTTTTGTGGTGGGCCCGTGGGTATGCAAGAGCAAGCTCCAGGGCCTGTGGGTGCCAGCGAGCGTGGGGATCTGTGTGTGAGTGTGAGTGTGACAGTGTGCGCATGTGTGTGTCAGTGTGCATGGAGGGTGTGCTGTGCACAGGCTGGCCCTGGCACTTTCTCTTGTGGCGCCTGCTGCAGGCCAGGCTTGGCCAGGTGTGGGAAGGTTGTGGGGCGTGCTTTGTGGGGGGCGTGCAAGCAGACTGGGCTAAGAGCCAGGAGGGCGTGGCGAGTGGGCCAGTGCTGGGAGAGTGTGAGCGTGAGGTGGGGGCATGCCAAGGAGTGAGGTTGGGGCCATCTGAGGTGGTAATAACCCAACAGAGACTTCCAGGGCAGTAGCATGCATCCTCATAATTCATAAAGAACTCCTACCAAGCAGCAAAGCCCCCCAGGTACCCTGATAAAGAATGGGGCAAAGGGATGCACAGTTTACGAGGGGGATGGTGGAATCAGAGATGCAGGAGGCTCCGCATCTGTCACACCACCAGGACGGCTGGCTGCCGCCGGCTGCCTGGGACAGCAGCGACAGGAAGGAGCAAGAGTGGGTGAGGGTTGGAGAAACGGAGCCCGGGCCGTCTCGGGAAAGGGAACGGCGCAGTCACTGTGGAGAGCAGGACGCTGGGCTGCAGAGCACTAAACACAGAATTACTGTGGCCGAGCCGGTCCACTTCTGAGTGTAAACCCAGAAGGGTTGAAAGCAGGGTCTCAAGCTGGTATTTGCACGCCCGTGTTCACAGCAGCCTGGCTCACACCAGGCCACAGCCCAGACGTGCACGGGTGGATGGACAGACAAGAAGAATGTAGCAAACACCAGTGGAATATTGCTCAGCCTGAAAAAGGAAGCAGCATGAGCTGACCTGGGCTACCAAGGGTGAACTTGCACAGGCCTGGATGGCCCCAGGGTTTTCTTTCTCTCTCTCTCTCTTTTTTTTTTGAAACAAGGTCTCACTCTGTAGTTTGTATCTTCCTGTCTCACCCTCTCTAGTGCTGGGATTACAGGTGCCTGCCACCCGCCTATCCCCCATCTTCTGTAGACTAGGAGGGGAAGGCTGGGTTGGCTGGTGGGTTCAGGCCAGGGCGTGGCGTTTGACCAGCGCTGGCTTGGGCAGTCTGGGCCCCCTCACTGAGGCTCAGCTCCACTTAGAACGTGTGTCTGGAGCTGGGTGTGGTGCACACCTGTAATCCTGGCACTGGGGAGGCTGAGGCAGGAAGAACACTGTGAGTTCAAGACCATTTAGTGAGACCCTGCCTCAGTCCTCCTCCCAAAGACTGTCTGTCCATGCCATGGCCGCGGTGCCACTCTGGGGCCCTTAGCCTGCTGTATGCGGCTGTACTGACTGAGGGTGACCCTCCTCCCACCTTAGCATCCTCCACTGGGGGTGTGTGTGCCCCGCCTGCGCCTCTGACTGTGAGGGTATGCGTGTGCCAGTTTGTCGGTGCACGCGTGCACACCCATTTGCTGTGTGTGCGAGTGTGCGAGTGTGCGTGTGTGCATGCGTGTAAGTGTGTGAGCGCCCATGCCGTCTGTGCTGAGTCAGCGCCGTGCTGGGTGGGCAGCACTGCCAGCCGGGCTGTGGCCTCCCCACACTTGCATAAACACTGGTCCCCGCTCCCCTCGAGCAGGGTGGTCCGGCCGTGCCCTGCCGCTGGGGGCAAGATGAGAAGGGGAGAGGGCTTGCCCCGCCCGGCCCGCTCCGTTGGACTGGGCCTCCCCGTGCTCTCTCAGGTGCCAGCACAGCGGCCGCCCCTCCTGAAGCAGGCAGAACTGGGCTTGGGGTCGAGGGCAGAGTGCAGCCTTGGAACTCCGGGCAGGGGCCAAGTTGCCCGAAAGGAGGCCAGCGACACCATGGGCAATGACCCTCCAAGGCACTCGCAGATTTAGCGTGGATGTTTGGGGCTTAGAACGTGAACCCAAAGGGCAGGGAATTGTGGGAGCGGGCCGGGACGGGACTGGAACAAATCGTCCCCCTCCCTGCTGCTCTGATGTCCTGCAGGGCCACCCAGGGCTCTTGGCAGCCTGTCACTTCCTGTGTCCTCTCTTCCAGCCGCCGTCCTTCCCCTGGGAGATGAGGGTCAGGTCACGTGCAGTGGGGTACAGGAAGGGCAGAAATGAAGCGGAATGAAGTCAGGCGGGGGACCTGCAGTCAGGCTGCTAGAAAGAAGGAAATTAGTCTGAGGGTGTGAAGGAGGACCATGTAGCTCAGAGCACCTGAGGTAGAGGGGTCCATGAGAGCTGATGGAGGCCATGGGAGAAATCCGGGTATGGAGTGAAATGATCAAAGGGATGCATGAAACTAGGGCTAGGGCCTGGAGACGAGCAGTGGTGCACACCTGTAATCCCAGCACTCAGGAGGCTGTGGCAGGAGGATCGCTGGGAGTTTGAGGCCAGCCTGGGCTGTCTGTAGTGAGTTCATGGTCAGCTTATAATACATAGTGAGACCCTGTCTCAAGAAAACCAAAACCAAAACCAAAACAATAACAACAAATAACAAGAACCCAAAAAACAAAAACAAAGAAAAACGGAAATAGGGAGGGAGAAGGGGAAGCCCCTCGGACTACCCCAGGGGCTTGGGTGGTAGGAAGGGCCCTGGTGAGGGTTGGGGGGGTGGGCTTGCTGGGACAGGGCCGTCCCCCCAGAGCCCTCATCCAGTTCCCCGCGGGGACAGCAGGAGAACCCAGCCCCTGAACTCCCGGCCCCCAGAGAAGCAGCTGCCCGGGGTTCTCCCAAGCCCCTCCCCTAGGCTGCCCCTCCCCCGCCCCAGCCTGGCCCAAGTTGGGGGTTATTGGCTCCCCGCTCTCCCAAAGCCGCACGATCCTGGTTTGCTGAGTGCTGACGG